ACAGGTCGCGCGTATTTTGCTCAACTTTATAGCCACAAAAAGCCATAGAGTTGGAACTGTTACCTAACCATTGTGTGATATGATGCAAGACTGTCACCTTGCAACATATTTTGGTCTTTAAATCTAAACATGCATTCAAAAATAAATCAAATTAAATCATCTATACATGCCAGCATCATACCTCAATATTCTTTTCACTCAGTCTGAAAGAGAAGTGGGTGTTTTATGTGTCTACTTGACACTTCACTTCAAGCTTCACTGCAAACGCACCCAACTGTAACTAAAGTTTACCTGTCTAAACTTATCATCAATTAAAACTTCTTCGTCACTTTCTCCTCTTTATATCTTTATTACAACCTAAATGCACAGAACTCTGAGGCCTCGCGTGCCTCGTGAGTTCTGCATTGATGGTGGACCTGTTTTTTTCTCCATGCTGCACTTCATGGCCTCCTCTACTTAGCAGATATATTGTTCTTCCTACCACCCCCCCACACACGATGAGATTCCTTGGCGCACACAGTCACACAGGCTTTTAGACACTCATTAGCTCTTACTAATACAATAAGCGTCACCTTCCATTACATGGTGCTCGGCTGGATATCAGGATTGGAAACCCACCAAATCTCCACACAAGCGGTGCTACCCCCTCAAGCATGGCATTGTCTTTCAACCACAATGTCAGATTGTTGTCTCTTTTCTCTTTAACCAGTGTCTTAAGTGTAAACATATACACTTAATGTAGATAAGTGCACATACTGACACCTTTCTCCGACACACACACCATCTCATGGATGCTCTTTGAAGGAGTGGCTAAACTGACACACATTCTTGCATTGTGTGGATCCTCACATCAACTTTGGGGTTTGTTTCAGTGCAGGCAGCTGTTTAAAAATCCACCGTGCCCCCACCCTATTCAAGCCTGTTGTCTCGCTTTCGAACAGCACATGTAGAGGTGTAAGAAAATCTTAATTAAGACTCCTAATTCTCCGTGCTGTCGCCCGACCACGGCTGTGGACTCACGTGAACCCTTCTGCGCGCAGCGTGAGGATAGACGTCGTTGAACCAGGTTGGCAGTTTTGTTCTATCATCTGTACTCTTCAAACTTCAACCAGGATTAACAGATACTTATTAAAATCTATTTAATAAAGTTCTCATAATAATATAATTGTGTAGCTTGTTGCAAACTTTCAATATAAAAACACTACTATGTAGCAAAAAAATTTCAAAAGACCTAATAGCAAGTAGTTTTTCATTTTTGAGGTAAGGTGTAAATTGAATAAACATGATTATAATAAAAGAAAAGTTTTCATGTTTTTTAATAGTGTGATTTTTCCTGTAAACAACAAACTTGTCTAGAGTCTGGCCTTTTCATCAGGAATCTAATTTGTTAACATAACAGTTAACACGCACATGTTAATGAATTTTCCTCATTATACTGAGAGGCTACAGTATGCCGTATGTCACCGCACAGATATATAATGTGTAGTGACAAGTGCTTGCCACTGTAAAGGTGATTTCAGCTCTGGGTTTTGTATGTCGCTCTTGGGTCTGAGGCTTCTCCCTCTGAGCAGTGGCAAAGGGCATGTGATCCTCGGCGTGCAGCAGATGCCCTGAAGAAGACTTGCAGCAGATGAGTTGAAAATGAGCGTGACATGTGTTAAACAGGCGAAGCCCCGCAACGCTGACGTTTGACAAGATGATGGGCGTAGGCAATTATTATTGTCTCCGCTTAAAAAGCAGTCAATATTCAGGGCTGCAGTCTTTCAAAGCAAAAGTCATAATACAAATCAGCTTGACCAGATTTTCATTACTAATTGAGGTGCCTGAATGGAATATGATCAGGCTTAAACAGGCAAGAACCAGATTTTGAAAGCCTTAAAAGCCCGAGGGTCCATAATGGTGATTTTAAGGAAATTGATATAAAACGACCGCTAAAATGATTTCAGCGACATCCTTACATGTAGGTGTCAGCGTCTATGAGTTCTTTCTTTACACACTTGTAGTCATCTGCACGCCCTAACAGACCTCCGACCTCAGTCCTTCCTGCCCGACAAAAGTACCAATGATGGTGCGTTAGCCATGGGGTGGAACATGCCAAGGGGGCGCTCCACTCCACCCCCTTCCCTCTACTCACCCTCCAGAACCATTTGGACCACAGGGAATGGGTTAATCACATTAGAGGCCCAGAAGAGAGATGGGAAGTAGACAGTACCGTGACAGCCGGGGTAGCACTGGCACGACTAATCCCGTTAGGCCGAGGAAAAAGGGGGACGCCATCGCGCCTACGAGGCTGAGAAAGAGAAAAACATTTTCCCAGGAATGAGTTCACCTGTATGGTAACACAGCGAAGTTGGCCTGTTGATGCCTATTAGAAGAAACAATCGCACTTGGCACATACAAATGTTTTTTTTCATGCTGGGCACCACTTTATTGTCAGTGCCTGAAAAAAAATCAGCAGCAGACAGTGGCATCGCATGAGATCCTCTTTCATGCCACAGTGCAGCCCCCCCTTTCAACCCACTGCTATCTGTCTGCCAAACAGTGAGAAGATGGGGAGGGGTGCTGTAAGAAGGATAGAGCCTATTTCATCTGCCATTGTAAGTGCACCCGAGTTCAACCTTAATGTAAACCTTTGCAGGCAGGATATGAATAGGATGCTCTCTATAAAAATATATCCTGCTGGGTAATCCGGCAGATGGCCACAGCAGCGGACACTACAAGGGAGGGTGTAGCCACTGCAGGGGTAAACGGGGAACGTCCGTTCAGCAGCCACTCTTCAGACTGGGAGATGTGGAATCAAGATTCTTAACTCCCCTTGGCAACGCTGGGAAACAGAGCCGTCAGTTTAGATCCATCAAGTTTCTACTTAATCTCACCCACCATTTTTTTTTCTCTCCAGTTTCTCCTTTTTTTTTTTTGTATCTTCTCCCTTTGTTGTGGGGATTAAGCCAAGTGGTAAAACAGTGATTTAATGATCTTTCCATGGCTATGTGCACCACTTAAACCATGAGACAAACAAGCTGAGGCATTCTAAGAGTCACCCCCTCTGAAGGCGGCTGTTCAGGAACTGTGAGGCTTTTGATACAGCTTTAAGCTCTGGCTGATTATTTTTCCCACTGCGGTGTGATGTGCTGTGCTGTGCTATGGGAAAATTGAAGTTTTTGTGTTTTGTGAAGGCCCATTGTAAACAGGATAAGAAGAAAACAGTTGGATAATTTAATGATAGCTTTATAATGATAAGGTATGGTAAATTGTAATGATTTCTTTAAGCACAAAAGAAGCTGTGCTGTTAAACTTCAGCATCGCCATTGCAAAGCATAAGAAAAATACATTAATATTGCAAATATTTTTTTTATAGTCAGATAAGGCAAAAGGGGGTCCAACCCAGTACTAGCCAGGTGTACCTAATACAGTAGTTGATGAGTGCAGCTCAAAACTGTTTACAAGTATCTTAATCTTTATCTGTCATATTTATTAAGACATTGAGCCCACCACTATGTAAAGACTAAAAACTACATTTTCCGTCTAAAAATGATGCATTTAAATGTTCCAATATTATGCCACACCAGGAAATTATTTCTTCACCTGTGAGTGCCTTGTCTATTACTTTTCATGTATTACCTTCAAATTCATTCTCCAAACTCACATGGTGCAGAGCACTGAATATATCTTTTTGAGAGGTACAAACTACATGGGAAAAAGCACATACTGACCAATGTCTTTTTATCTTATTCAGAATATGAAAGAAACTTCGCTTTCCTTTAAGAAAACTCACACATTAAGGATTACTACAAAAACAATCATTTAATTGTGGTAAATTATATATCAATACTTCTGATGCAGTTTGTGTTTGTGTCTGTGTGTGCTTGTATATGTGTCTGTGTGTGTGTCTGTTACTCATTTACTGAGAAATAACTGCCAAGGCATTGGCAGTGACCAGCAGAGAGTAGGACTAGAAAGCCATAATAGGGCGACAAATATCAGAGGAGAGGCAGTCTGTGTGTAATGGATGATGGAGGTGTGAGTGTTTAGGGCAGTGTGCAATAAGTGGGTAAGCTGGTGGTTGGCTACATTGGGGGACACCAGTAGGGTCAATGATGATGATAATGGGGAGGGTAAGCACTCTATTGAGGTTAATACTTCTGAGCTGGCTAAGAGATTATGCCATTGTGAAAAATATTTAAGACCTCACCGATTTTACACCGCTAAGAAAGTCAGAAAGAGAGAAGACAGTTTTCAAACTACACATTAATATGAAAAACTGTAGCCATGACCAAGCTGCAAGTGAGCTGACATTCAGACACAAATGGCTGATCATTAAGTAATAATGATTTTAGATGGCAACATTCAGGTTATTGAGGAGTCAGTATGACCCCTGCTGTAATTAGAACATCAGCTGTAACTGCTGCTTTATTACAACCCTAATTCCAAAAATGTTGGGAAGGCTGTGTAAATAAAAACTGAATGCAGGGATTTTGAAATGTCATACACCCATATTTTATTTACAGTAGAATATAGAAAACATCAAACTGTTAAAATGTACCATTTTAAAAAAGAAATGGCTATTTTTTTTATTTGATGGTAGTGACATATCTCAAAAAAGTTGGGAAGGGGCACGTTTACCACTGAGAAGAATCCCCTCTTCTTCTAAGAACAATCGTCTGCAAACTGAGGAGACCAGTTGTTGGACTTTTAGGGCGGGAGTGTTGCCCCGTTGTCTGATTTAGGATTCCAGTTGCTTTTTATTACCACTTACGTGTCATTATCATCCCAACTTTTCCGAGACGTTTTGCTGCCATCAAATTGAAAATTTCATTAAATACTAAAATATAATATGTTTTCTATGTTTTACCATAAATAAAATGTTGGTCTGTGAGACTTGCAAATCATTCCATTCTGTTTTTATTTACATTTTACACATCCTCCCCAGTTTTTTAGACCTGAAGTTGTGATTATCACACAATCCCTGTGAAAACATGGACTCAGACAGGTGTAACAAGTAGAGCATTTGTACTTATTTTTAATCTGAGTCCTCGGCGAAGAGGTGGGAACAGAAGTCCTCCATCAAGGCGATGACCTCATCAACAACTTCAATCTTCTTCTTGACCGGGAAACATCTGGGCATGAGCTTTCGTCCATACTATAAGATTTTAAAGGTGGAGCCTTAACCATCAGTAGGATATAACTTGCTATGAGATTTTTTTTCTAAGCTAACTAAAATTGATTTGTTGGTAGAGCATTGAGAGGCTAAGTGTCTTTATTTCTCAAAGCTAGAGGTAACATTTCTCAATTGTAAGAAGAGCATTCTGTGTGTTTGTGTTGAGCTGCATTTTTACAGATGTTCCCCCTAACATCACACAACAACCACTTATATATGTGGCACACTGACTTAATGCAAGTACAGAATGTATTTAATGTTGTATGAATCTATGTTAAATGACTCACTGTTTTCTTGGCTTCATCCAGCGATCTCTGAATGCACTCCTTCATCCTTTCTCTGTGTTGCTCCATCTCCAGTTTAAGTTTTTCCTCTCGCTGTCTGGAGTGTGTAACAACATGTAATAAGAGAGGTAGTTATACAGTATACTGGATTTTTGTCAATGCACCAAAGACAGGAATTAAAATATAAACAGAAACAAAACCCATTTTTTTCTTTCTGGATTGTTAAATAAAAACTGGAGATTAAGGAGGTGGATAAAATTTACTATTCACAAGTTAGCCCTGTTTACTAAACATCTGCGTTCAGTGAGACAAACCTGCTCCTCTTCTCGCTGTCCTTGATGTTCCTCAGTGTTTTCAGCACGTCCTCTGGGATGCTCTCAACTTGCTGGAACAGCAGAGATATATGGTGCTCAAAACCAGTCAGCATCTCCAAAGTGGTGAGTTGGGTCGGCCGTTCATCGACGCATGAGGAATACACCTTTGCCACCTTAATCGCCAAATCATTCAACATAATATCCTGTATGTAAGACAGTTGTAGAAGATGAGAGAAAAAAAGGTTCCCCAAGGCTGCTTTGATTTCAAATAGGATGATATATTAAAAAAGTCGAGCATAAAGTACACTCTGCATCATTACCTGGTCCTCTGTCTTTATTGATTCATGGAGATGAACACTCTTTTTAAGCATGGCCACTCTCTTCTTTTTGATGTCAACTCTCTCCTTCATATCTTCTACATGCATGTTTAGCTGCTCTTCTTCCTCTTTCCTTGACACAAAGAAGAGTTTATCTATCTATCAATCTATCAATCTACCAATCTATCTATCTATCTATCTATCTATCTATCTATCTATCTATCTATCTATCTATCTATCTATCTATCCTTGGTGCTTTCCTTTTGCTTCGTTAGCAGACATAGCAGCAGTCACATAAATTGTAAGTTCAAAAAGCAACCAACCGCTGTCACGAGAGATCTGCAAGATACTGTGAGGACTTCTTCACAAAAGCCAAAATTCATGCTGTGTACACCTGGCTTTGAAAGAACTGTTAGAAAAACCGCGATTCTCACATTTTCTTTATGGTGACCTCGAAAGTGTGCTCCATTTTCTTATCCATCCTGGTGATGTTGTGAATCAGAGACAGGTTCTGGTCAGTCAGCTCTGACAGCAGGACGATTACCTCCAGGGGATCGAAGTTATATAGTTCCAGCTTGTCCTGCAGGGAAAGGTAAGTGAGCACTGTAAATAAAGCCTCCTGATGAAAATGGCTGTTGCTTTAATGATCTTTGGTTTTAGACTCACTAACTCTGACCTCATAGATTGTGTTGTTTCCATTCAGCTGGGAATTCTTCACCCTGAAATGAAATAGATTTTAAGATCATAGTTTTAAAAAGTTTTATTCTGCTGGAACTCCTACCACCTTCTTTGCTGTTGTTGCATTGCTCCCTGTTGCTCTGATAACATCACAGATTAAATTATCCAACAAAACTAAAACTAATCAAACTAACTAATCAAATTAAATGACCTGAGAATTGATAGAAAAGAACCAACTGGTGATAGTGTGTGTGTGCTTTCTTACACGGCATCACTGTGGTTTGAGGACAGTGTAGACTCACTGGTGGGAGGCAGCACTCTATCTGGAGTGGAATCCAGATCTTTCTCCAAGCCTGTGTTAAAGTTCATACTTACAGATCAGATGTATGTGAGCTTCTATGCCAGCAGTTATAATGCATTCAATAGTAACTCAGACACGGTTTATTTTTTAATAAAAGGCTGGTCTCCTATTTAAGAAACCCACACCAGTCTGACCCGTATCCATTTAATGTTGTTTTCCTACCATCTGGTCTGTCTGGCAAGCCTTTGGTTGTTAAAGTCGCTGCTTTCTGGGCTTCCTGCCACTCGGGAGGAGAAAGCTTGAACAGAACTCTCCTGTACCTCTTATATTCATTCAGAACCTTCTCAATCTTGGCAACTTCACTATAAAGAAGAAAGCTTTAGCATGCTACTTATTCCAAATTTGTCACTTTCTTTTACAGATCTATGCATTAAACCGATGCGTACCGCATTTAAGTGACATGCATGATATTCCTATTGTTAGCCATACCTTTTTAATATTGCTGTTTCATCGGTGACCTTCTCAATCTTATCATTCATTTCCTGTATGGAGCTACTTGAGTTTTTCAACCTGCTAAAAAAGCAGTTTTACAGTTATTACAACAGAAAATTATATTTAAATCAACCCATCCCCTATTCAAAACAATATTTATATCAAAATATCCCATTTTGATATGGGGAATTTTCTGATGCTTACAGATTTTGGGCATCCATAACTTTCTTCTCGACAGAGGTGAGGAATTCTTTCAAAAAGCAATCTTCAAATGCCTTGAAATCTTCAAGTCTTTGTACTACATACTTCTGTGCAGTCATGGCCTTTGCGGTCGTCTTAATCTTTGAACTGATCACCTTATCATCAAACTGGATTATTTAACAACATAAGATTAACATACTGTGAATTTGTCATAATTAAAAGACAGAAAAGCTTTGATGACTGTTTTCTAACAGAAAACGCATTTATTAAAGAAATAATGAAATATGATAGACTTTATGTGCATACAATTGAAAAAATAGTTCCAGATTTTAGGAAATTTACATCAAGGAAGAGATAACGCTTAAGAGCCAATACGTCCTTCTTTTTTAACAAACAAAATTAGATTTTATTTCCCCCGCTTCCAGTCTCTCCAGGCTGTAGCGAAATCCTAAGTAAAGCTAATCCCAAACATCTTTTCATTCAAATTAAAAGTTTGTCAGATTAAAATCTCTATAGCTTCATTTAAGAGCAGGATATTTGTACTTTTGCTCACATGAATTTTGAAAGAATCTCGACCTCAGGATTAGTCCTTACAATTGAGGGATTCTTCTTGGGTCTAGAAAAACAAGCTAAACATTTTAATAGAAGTAGAACAATGTGCAAAAGTTTTGAGCCACCCCTCAAACAGAAATTAGTTTCAATGATTTTTGAAATATGCAACCATAGTTGTACAATTATAAGAACTAATGTAAGAGAAAATAATAGTGTCTGTATCTCTATCTAATTTTGATGGGCTTATGATGGACCTCTAAAGTTTTCTTTTCTTTTGTTTAATGCAACTGCTGATTTTGCAAAAACTATGCCTTAGACCCTTTAATTACATTACCTTTAGCTGCGCATTCTTCTCTGACATGAGGATCCAGTTCTCACTGCTGTCTCTCTTAGAAATGTCTAAGCAAAGAGAATAAGTCGTGTCAACACTAGAGAGCAATCCTTCAAACCAAATATAACCTTTAAAACACTGCATTCTGCTCTTTCTTCACCCACCTTGATTAACCTCAGACGTTGCCATGCCTGTGAGGTCTTGAGTAGGGAGAGATGTGTTTTTCCTCTTCTCCCTTTCCTCCTCCTCTTTCAACAGCAGACCTATCACCTCATTTGTGGACATGCTTTGTCTGTCCTGCACTGAAGACAGTCAAAACAAACCCTGAAAATAGTTTTCAATACAGTGCTTTGAAACAGTTTTTGTGTATGTGTGTGTGTATTTTTCACACTTGCATGTTTCACATCGTTAAAGAAATGCTGCTGATCAAAAGGAACTCAAAGGCTCGTCTCAAATTTACCAAAAAAACATTCCCCAAGAATTTTGTGAAAATATTCTGTTGACTGATGAGACAAATTAAAAGGTTTTGGAAGGTCTCATTCTTGTTACACCTGGGATAAAAACAAAAACATCATACCAACAGCCAAACATGGTGCTGGTTAAGTGTGATGGTCTGGGGAAGAAGCATGGACCATGGATTCATACACAGTGATTTCAAAGACTCGTTGACAGTTATTCCTAACATGTGACTGCAGTTATTGCTGCCAAAGCTGGTACAATCAGTTATTAGGTTTGGGCGGCAATTATTTTTTAATAACACAGATTTAGATAGTATTTTTTTCAAAATAAATTAATTCATCATGTAAAAACTGAATTTTATATTTATGTGGATTATCTTTGCCCAGTATTCAAATTTCTTTGATGTTCTGAAACATTAAAGTGTGTCACATATGACACAGGAAAAGAAATTAAAGAGTGGGCAAATATTTTTTCACAACATTGGAGTTAAGTGCTATATTTACATTTTACAATTTCACAACACTTTTTTTTTTTAACAAATAAGGTCCAGATTTCTAAACAAGTACATATTTCATCCGATGAAATGACACTACAAATATCACCAAAACTTTGTGAAAAACTAGCAATTAATTTTTACATATGATTTGGGTGCTTACCTGGCTGTAGTGGCGAAGACGTCTCTTAGCTTGATGCTAGATTCGCTGTTGTTCTTACAAACAGACGTTTAAAGTCAGGTTTAGCCGCAGTTTCTTCAGACTACAAACAGCAACCATTTAACAACACACTAATTCATAACAAAAGAAAAACACTGACTGCCCTACTGAAAGGTGATGTTGTCATTCTTATCATTTTGTAATTCCACCAAAATCTTAAACTGGAACTAGCGTTAGCTTAGCTTACTTAACCCTCTGTGTAAGTAGAACTGCTAGCTTATCGACACCGTAGTAGAAGTTAGCCTTTATGCTAACTTATTGATAACACTTTTTATGCATACTTTAATTTAAAACAAGGTGAATTCAGAAATCAAATTAATTACCAAATACATAAAAACTCAATGACTGCACCCTCTGAACATACTCTTTCTCTTTATCATATGGATAGGAACACTGGAGCTTCAAACTGAGATGTTTAAGATTAAAAGTAACAGACGACTGTCCTGGTTGCTGTTGCCTTGTTTTTCTTCTTCTTTGCGACTATTGTTTAAGACTGAGGAAGTGGACAGTGTTTAGAGGAACTGTGTAAAAAAACTGCAAGAAATGTTTTAAATTTTCTGATGTTTAGATGCAAATGTTAGTTCCATGTGCAAAAGATGATTAAAAAATAAATAAACGCTCATAACAGTTTCTCATATTTTATGTATTCTTCAGATTATTTACAGTAACGTGCAAAAGTCTTGAGCCACAGCAACTGAAACATGGGGTAACATAAATGGTTTTCAAACTGAGTTTGTATGAGTCTAACAAGCTTGGACGACAATATTTGGTATGACCACTTGTGTTTTTGAATATTGCCTGAAAGATAGAAAGATAAAAATGTTAAGTTGTCTGGTTCATCCCTTGAGCTGGGTGTCATGTTATGCTTGAATGATTCATAGATCACTGGTAAGTGGCATAACAAATAAAGAGAAAGAAATAAACAAACCAAAATCCCCTTTAATTAGTCAGATACAAAGACTGTAAAAAAATGCAACTGGTGTCAAAAAAAAAGAGAAGAAGAAAACTTTGAAAGACCTTCAGAAAACCTGGGGAACTATTGCTAAAGAGCTTCTTTTTTTAATTAAAAAAAAGTCTGACTCCTTGGAATCAAAACCAAAAAAGAAAGAATTGGGTGGCTCAAAATTATATATTACTGTGCATTTGAGTGGCTATGACTAATAAATACAGCAAAAAAAGTATACCATTATATTAATGTAATCAGAATGTATACAGCATGAGACAATGAGGCAATACATGAGAATCGTTATTTTGTGGTGCAGACCAAGAAAGAATTAGACCAACACCAAGGAGAGCTGCAACCCCCAAACTTCAATTAGCCCCAAAACTCAAATAAAAAAAGCATTCAGGGCAAGTGTTGGGATATGTCACAGTGAACGAGCCTGGATACCATATTGAGGAACCAGCTGTCAGCACCTTTTATTTTAAAAGGAAATATTTATCATGTAAAGAGTGGCAATGCTACCCTCAGACTCTTCCGTAAAAGACTCTACAGGAGGCTGGAAAAAAGTAATGCTTCAGTGCCCTCTAGAGACAAAAAGAACATGAAACTCTATGTGTCTTGGTGAAGATTTCTGAAAATCATGAAACACTTTAACAAAAAATATACATAAAAAATTACAGATTCAATAATGAGCTACCCCGTGCACATGTATTAGACAGCAAGCGCTTCAGGTCAGATGACAGAGCTCTGGTCTGATAGTTACCAGGGAATGATGAGTTACAAAGGGTTTGCTTTTAGGTCATGATTCCAGAGGACTGCCGGAAGCAAGCAATTCATTGCCCCAGAGAGGCAGTTATTCCACAGCAACTGGAAAAGACATCGCTAGATGACAAAGAACCACCTTTAAAGTGTATTTATGCGCATCTCAATTCTTCCTCTATATTTTAAAAAATTTGCTCAATCTGGACAAAAAAAGAAAGCAAAAATAAGGAGTTAACTTTAAACTATCACTTGTACAAACTGCATTGAGACAGCTGGATTAGACAATGTCTCAGAATAGGGTATGCTCCTGTAATAACTGAATCATAATTTCACAGTGTGCTACTTAAAAAGGTTTAAGCCCTGATATGTGGGTTACAGTACTCCCTCCCACAGGCCAGATTATGCCATCTGTGAGAAAAAAAACAGTATATCTCTGTGAGTGTGTTGGTGTGTGTGTGTGTGTGTGTGTGTGTGTGTGTGTGTGTGTGTGTG